CTGCGGCTGCGAAAGGGAGCAAAACCCTGGCTGATTGGGGGAAGTGACTGCAGCTGGGGCCACGCCCCAAACTAAGCAACTGGGCCTTATAAGAAGGCCAGGGAAGCCAGAGGGAGCAGTCTCACTCTGACTTGAGAGGGAAACAGGCCTGGCTATTGGGGAACTCACCCAGGGGACCTAGAGGGAGGTGGAGCTGGAGCTGGGAAGCCCTAGGCCAGCAACTCCCCAGGCTGCAGGGCCTAGTTCTAGGCCTCCTAGGTATTGGGCCTGCAGAGGGGCAGCCAGAGGGTGGGTAAAGGCAGCCAGTCCAAACCCCTTGTTGCCTGTGATGATCGGCTGATAGACTGCAGTCCACCCCAGGGCACGGGGGCTAAACAGAGACTGGCAGTAGCCACGACTGAGGTGATGTGGGGATAGGGGGTGGGGAAACCCAGCAAGACTGTAGAGTACTGCAGGAGGCAGAACCCTGAGATAAGGGCACTGGAGTCCTGGGAGGGACACGGGGGGCCAACGACAAGTGGATCACTGGCCTGCAGAGGGTGCTCCTGGGTCGAAGAGCTAATTCCTGAGGGCAACCAGCAGGAGGCCCCGCAGGGGTGAGTCCGCGCTTTGCTACACTAGCCAAAACAAACTTTGCCCTCAACTAAGAGCATCAGCTCTTAGTTTTTGCATAACCTTGAAGTTATACTGGACTTCACACTGCTTTTGGACACAGATTGCGACTGTAGTGAGAACAACCTCCCACTTTGGGAAGTCAGAAGACCTACCTTTCCTTTTAAATAAAGGATCCCGATGTTTTAACTCATGCCTTTATCACCTCAAACTACACAACTGGAAGTTATCTGGGACTGATGGAGACCACCTCACAGAAGCTACAACTAATTCAACATGCAGCATTTGTTTACTAGCCAGAGACTGAAGAGATCATATCACTCAGCCCAATTTTAGTCTGGAGTCTGCCAGGGAAACACTATTCATCTGCAAAGCCTCTAGTAGGCTAGCACCCAGATACCTTAGAAACCATTTATCCATCCACAATCTACCAAGACAACTACACACCACAAAACCGTTGTAGCCAAAATGATTCAGGAGAAGACTCAGGGGCAGAGAATTCTTAGTGACAGGACCTCAACTTACCAAGCAAAGTCAGACTAAGTCTGAGCTTGATATTTGTTTAGGCAAACATAAAACTGACCTTTTCTCTATAGCTTTCCTGCAGCAGTATCATTCTCTCCACCCCCAATCACCAGCCTTTTTAAAAAGTTCTGGTATGAGGAGAAAGATGAGACGAGTGCTTGTCTCATCATCTATGCAATAACAGTGATAAAGATGCACTGCTATGGCATGGACTAATGAACTAATCATTCATGCCAATCAATTTCAGGGATGGTATTTAATATTGCAAGAGTATGTTTACTGCCACGGTTAAACAGAACAGTTCAACCACTGAGTTGGGAAAAGTAACTGGCTAGACATCTACTTGCAGAGTTTTCTGAAGTGGTAAACCTTATTGTGTCCACAGCTGCTTCTTCCATGAGTTTTCCTCATTTAAAATAATAAATTCAAATTTAAGAAACCAACAAGACATACAGAGAAAATAGGAAAGAGTTTACCTGCTCCAAGCAATGTAATAACAAGCAACTGATGAAGGTATGCCAGGCATAGAAGCCAGTCTAGAAAATCTGGTGAATTATAAAGATCTTTTCAATTCTCCCACATATCTTGACTTTATTCTAAAGCAGAAAGTTCTGAGAAATATGAACACTCCATAATTCAGCTTATGAAGTTGTTGCATTTAATGTTCAGCCTGTTTAATAATCAAAATTAAAAAGAAATTTAGTCCATCCTCCCACAAGTACACGATTATTTTTTACATGCGCTCACTCTCTCTTCTTAGAATAGTTTCTAGCATATTCTCTAGCCTGGTTTTACCAAAGTTGTTTGCAGCACTTCTCTGAAAGACTATTCATTAGAAGTTAGAAATCATTTTTCAAAACACAGCTATATACAAAATTATTCTTTGCTTAGGCCGGATCCTGCAATTGGATCCACACGGACAAATCACTGCACCCAAATGGAGACTCGCTGCCTACAATGGGGCTCTGCATGGGCATAAGAGTACACCTGAGCTGAATCCTCCACCATGCAGATCCAACTGAAGGACAGACTTAAAGTTGTACAATATTTAGCAATGCCTCTCCTTCCTTCAGGATTACATTCTAAAGGTGTGTGAATACATGACCACCGTTGCCATCCCACCCACACTTAGCTGAAGCATACAGTTTTATAAGTCTTTCCACGAGGAAATCTCTTCAACACCTGTCATTTTATTCTCATTTCCCCCCCCCCCCCCATCTCTTCTCATTTCTCTCCAATTTGTCCATATCTTTCTGACTGAGGAGCTTAGAAAGAAACTGGGTACTTTACCTACTGTTTCACCAGAGAATGAAAATCATCTCCCTGACTTAAGACAAGATGCTTCTGAATACGCAGTCCAAAAAAAAAAATACATGCATTGAACACCCCAAGGTCTCTTAACATTACCCGCATCCCATAAAATATTTATGGTTTGGCTTCCCTCCCACCCTATCCCCAAATGTACTAATTTGCATTAGTTCACATTTAGTTTCAATTTCTTGTCCATATTTCTAATCTCTGTATTGTTTGTTTTTAGTTGTAACTTCCTAAGCATGTTGTTTACCCTCTCTTCCCAATCATTAGTGAGGATGAAAATTAAAGCCAGATTTAGCACAGATTCTTTTGTTCCTCAATATACATTTTTCTCCAACTTAACACAACACTAATTTTGGTATCATTTGTTTGTCCTTTTATACAGAATTCAAAACCATGGGCTTTGTTCATTCATTTTTCCTCATATGAAGTAATGGCCATACTGTGTGAAACCAGTGGTACATCTAGCCCAGTATCCTGTCTTCCAACAGTGGCCAGGGCCAGATGCTTCAGAAGGAATGAACGGAAGGGCCAGTTCTGGAGCGATCCATCCCCTGTCATCCAGTCCCAATTTCTGATGGTCAGAGGTTTAGGGATACCCACAGCTTGGGATCACCCTGATCATCTTGGTTAATAGCCATTAATGGACCTATCTTCTGTGAACTGATCTAACTCTTTTTTGAACCCAGTTATAATTTTGGCTTTCACATCCCCTGGCAATGAGTTCCATAGGCTGTGCGCTGTGTGTTTGTTTTAGACCTGCAACCTATTAATTTCATTGGGTGACCCCGGTTCTTGTGTTACATGAAGTGTTAAAGAACACTTCCCTATTCACTTTCTCCACATCATCCACGGTCTGATAGACCTCTATCATATCCCCCTTAGTTGTCTCTTTTCTCAGATGACCAGTTCAGGTCTTTTTAAACTCTTCTCATATGGAAGCTGTTCTATACCCCTAACCATTTTTGTTCTTCTCTGTACTTTCCCCCCCAAGTCTAATGCATCTTTTTGAGACAGGGTGACCAGAACTGCATGCAGTATTCAAGGTGTGGGATATTTTCTGTCTCATAATGTATCCCTTGCCTAACAGCAACTAACATTGTTAGCTTTTTTGACTGCCGCTGCACTTTGAGCGGATGTTTTCGGAAAGCTATCTGCAATGACTCCAAGATTTCTTTCTTGAGTGATAACTGCTAATTTAAAACCCATCATTTTGTACATATAGTTGTGATTATTTTTTCTAATGTGCATTACTTTGCACTTAACAGTGCATGTCACCTTAGTTTTGTGAGAAATACTTGTAAATTCAATCCTTAAAAAAAATTCTAAATTAAATACGATTTGCTATTAATTGCTAATTCTGGTCCACTCTGGTAGCATTACTTATTTTTGTGTACAGTAAGCTGTCCCTGTTTTAGGTAGGACAGCTGACTTTTGCTTTAGTAAAAGAGTGCAAGACAATTCCCAGAAATATTTGGGGAAGACTAACAACTGTGTAAATCATATCATCCTTTCAGTCATGTGCAATGATAAGCCCTGAAGGCTTCTCCTGACCTCCCTGCAAATCATGAGACTATCAAACTCATGACTGATCATTTACTGTCAGCCTTCAACTGAAGAGAGAGTCACTGTCTGAACAGATTTATTCTGGTTCACTGTAATCAATTTGACAAAAATAGCTATATTGTCTTTGAGTGCTACCTTAAGGCTTTGTATTTCACTAGGTTTGGAGATATATAGGGTGTCAAATATTTTATTTCAGATGTAAAGGCTTCCAAAAGCAGAAGACAGACTTAGTATACACAGCCATCCATCTCTCGGTGGATTTCTTACTGTCGAGCAAGAGCAATATTTATCATTGCATAAAATCTAGTTTTCACGTATTGAATAGCCCGAAACACTATACTATTCAACTACTCACCAGCGAGCCCATTAACTAGCCAAAAATATTGTATCGACGCAACACATGGCAATTAGAGCCAGAACAAGTGTTTATACTTCGCCCCGTAAGCGCGTTCACATGAGAGGCACCTGCTGGTCCAGCCTGGAGAGTTCAAGTCTCTCACGTCCTTCAAGCAACTAGCGGCCGACACTGACCCAGCGGCGCCGCGCTCTGCAGAAGCAAACGGGCCGGCGGAGAGGCAGGAAACGAGAGGGGCAGAGCTGGAAAGTGCGGGGAGTCCCGGGAGTAAGTGGTTTGTCAGTGAGCGCAACTGGGTGTGCAAGTGCTGTCAGCCAGACGCGCCCGCAACCTGCTGCCCTGCCCGGCCGAGCTCCCACCCTCGCAGGGAGCGGAGCGGCTGCTCCGAAAGGGGACCAAGCGGTCCTACACACCTCCCGGGAAGGGGCTGCGGTCACAGGGAGGGAAGGAGGATGGAGTGACGGGGGCTTCGCAGCGCCCTGTGGGTTACCGGAGGGGCTCTTCCCTGGGCCAGCGTGGGTCTAACGCGGGCATTTCGCTCCCCCGCAAGCCAGGGAAAAGCGGCTCCCGGGAGCGCCCCGCTGGGAGCAGCCGGCCGGGGAGTTCGCGGCGCGGCCCAGGTACTTACATATCTGTTGATGAGCGTGCGGATGAGGCTGCAATCCATGGTGAGCCAGAGCCGCTCAGGCACTCGGCCGGCTGGGCTGCCTAGCTCGCCTCACTTCCACTGTTCGCCTCCATGGAGCAGTGGCTGCTCCTCCTCAGCCGCCCACACGCCCACTCAGGGAAACGGAGAGCGACTCCCCTGCCCTGCCCCACCAGCTCTCGCTCTGCCCGCCTCCTCCTCCGCTGCTCCGGCTAAATCATGCGTGCGCCAGGCGCAGCCGGCTACCCAGGTGTGCGCCGCTGCTCCTGCCGGCGCCTCATCCCCAGAGCAGGGAACTCGGCTCGAGGTGCTGCCCCTGGACACTTTGCAAGGAGGAAAAAGCCGCGGGGGAGGGTTCCTGCCTCTGCCCTTTGCTCTGGCTCCTAGCGGCCAGACAATGTTTTACGGAGCGTGCAGTTAGCTCTGCTCGCTAGCTCCCAAGCCCTGCCCAGATCAGACCAGCTCCGCCCGCGCGCGCGCCTCCGACTTTGATCTTTGCCTGCGATTCAGGCTGTTCACGTCATAAAGGGCGTGAGAGCATGCGCATGCCCCCTCCCCTTTCCAGCCCACGCAGTGAGCCGCGCTCCGCCCCTTTTACTCCTGTTCTGAGCTTCACACTCCGGCTGGCCGCGAGTGAGGCGCTCTCAGGCCAGGGTTGACAGACGTTCGGTTCACCGAAGCTTGGAGGTGTCGGACTGAAGCGTTTGCATCTTGCTTCCCTCCCCCAATCCTGTGTTTTAACTCCAGGGGAAAACTCCCCGCGTTACCGCTGATTTTTCCAGTCCTCTTTGATTCTTCCGCTATAGCTTCAAGGAGCTTTCTCCTGCATATTTTGCACACCCAAAACACTCCTTGAAGTCAGATGTGGGGGTGCAAAGAATGCAGGCTGATGCCGCAGGGGGTGAGTGTTTTATTAACATACACGTATTCTTTACAATCCTTCCTTGCCCTTATCTCTGCAGCTTTTGTCCTGGCTCCGTATGGGTTGTTGAGTGACAATTTCAGAAAGTGCTATCAACCACCATCTGTTCACACAAGTTTGCAACAGAAAATCCGAAAAGCAGAGGGAGATTCCCGCCTGTTGGAGCAAAGCGTATCCCATAAGTGGAGCAAAGAGAAAAGAGCGGGAAGCTCCTTCTTTAATCACCTTGCTGTAAAGCCCTAATCTCCAACTACCAAGATACTGATGCTACCTAGCAAGCAGTGGAGGGAGTGATGGTAGCTGGAGCCCTCCCCGGAGCGGGGAGAACTTGTCGAAGCAGTGGGATAACCCCAGAGCGCTCCCGCAGTTCCGAGCTGCAGCGGCTGGGAGCTCTAGGGCAGCAGAGCACCAAGCCAGTGATGAGCGCTCCTCCGTTGTTTCCTTTGCTGTTGAGGATGGGAAGTCGAGGAAAGGGAACTTTAGATGGAGCAGATGTTCGGTTTTCTCCGTTCTGGACTTTATTTGTAAAATTTCTAGGAGTGAAACCACACATAGGTCCCAACAGTTGCAAATCGAGGTAAATAGCATGTCACACACACAAGGATACTGTAAACATGGAAAAATATACAGGGACTGGGAATATATTCCCTATGTGTTAAATACTCCTTATTGGTAATAGTTGCGTGGGGGGGAGGGCAGGTTAAGGCCCATTCCTGCAAACAGATTACCCATGAGTTCTATGTGGCACCTTAGAGACTAACAAATTTATTTGAGCATAAGCTTTCATGGGCTATAGCCCATTTCATCAGATGCATAGAATGGAACATATAGTAAGGAGATTATATATATATATATAGAGAGAGAGAGAGAGAGGACATGAAAAGGTGGGAGTTTCCCTATCAACTCTAAGAGGCTAATTAATTAAGAGAAAAAACTTTTGTAGTGATAATCAAGATAGCTCATTTCAGACAGTTTGACAAGAAAGTGTGAGGATACTTAACATGGGGAAATAGATTCAATGTGTGTAATGGCTCAGCCATTTCCAGTCTCTATTCAAGCCTAAATTGATGGTATCTAGTTTGCATATTAATTCAAGTTCAGCAGTTTCTCGTTGGAGTCTGTTTTTGAAGCTTTTCTGTTGCAAAATTGCCACCTTTAAGTCTGTTACTGAGTGACCAGAGAGGTTGAAGTGTTCTCCTACTGTTATGTTATGATTCCTGATGTCAGATTTGTGTCCATTTATGCTTTTGTGTAGAGACTGTCTGGTTTGACCAATGTACATGGCAGAGGGGCATTGCTGGCACATGATGGCATATACCATATTGGTAGATGTGCAGGTGAACGAGCCCCTGATGGCATGGCTGATGTGATTAGGTCCTATGATGATGATACTTGAATAGATATGTGAACAGAGTTGGCATTGGGCTTTGTTGCAAGGATAGGTTCCACACACCACAGAACAAAAACACTAACCCAGGATCATTTTGAATTTTAATCCTATCCTCCAAAGCACTTCCAACCCCTCCCAGCTTTGTATCATCCATGAACTTTATAAGTGCCCTTCCAGCATTACTGTGAACCACTGATAACTACTCTCTGCGAACGGTTTTCCAACCAGTTTTGCACCCACCTTATAGTAGCTCCATCTAGGTTGCATTTCTCTGGTTTGTTTACGAGAAGGTCATGCAAAACAGTATCAAAAGCTTTACTTAAGTCAAGATATACCACATCTACCGCTTCCCCTCCTATGCACAAGGCTTGTTACCCTGTCAAAGAAAGCTATCAGGTTGGTTTGACACGATTTGTTTTTGACAAATCCATGCTGACTGTCACTTATCACCTTATTATCTTCTAGATGTTTGCAAACTGATTGCTTAATTATTTGCTCCATTATCTTTCCAGCTATAGAAGTTAAGCTGACTGGTCTGTAATTTCCTGGGTTGTCCTTATTTCCCTTTTTATAGAAGAGCACTATATTTGCCCTTTTCAGGTCTTCTGGAATCTCTCCCGCCTTCCATGACTTCTCAAAGATAATAGCTAATGGCTCAGATATCTCCTCAGTCAGTTCTTGAGTATTCTAGGATGCATTTCATTAGGCCCTGGGTGACTTGAAGACATCTAATTTTTCCAAGTAATTTTTAATTTGTTCCTTCCCTATTTTAGCCTCTTCTGTTCCTACCTCATTTTCACTGGCATTAGACTTACAACCACCAACCTTCTTGGTGAAAACCGAAACAAAAGTCATTAAGCACCTCTGCTGTTTCCACATTTTCTGTTGTTATTTTTCTCCCCTTATTGAGTAATGGGCTTACTCTGTCCTTCGTCTTCCTCTTGCTTCTAATGTATTTATAGAATGTTTTCTTGTTACCTTTTATGTCTCTGGCTAGTTTGATCTCAATTTACCATTGTTCTGATCAGCATGTCAAACCACCTAGTATATCATAAATTCTGACAGCATCACATCTATATGACTTGCAAACTGTCTCTTGCTGCCTGTGTGGTGGTGGGTGGGGAGGGGGCAGGATTATAAAAAAGCAACCAGTTTATCCTGGGGGTCAGATAGCTGAGAGTCACTGTTATGTTATGTGAAAATAACTGGATGGACTGGTACTATTTAGCACAACTAGCATGCACCATAAGACACTTATCACATTGGGTATTTTACTTTTAAAAATATTTTCTAGTTACTGAAATGGGTAACTGATTCGAAATCAGCAAAGTAAATAAAATTCCTTTTTAACATCATCTGTGATTACCATTCTTCTGCTTCAGTGCTCAAAAAAGACCTGTTTTAGTGGCTTGTTCTTTCCCACCAAATAAAGCACTCAAATTAGTAGCATCAGCATTTTTGGTTTCAAAAAGGTTGTGGGTTCATGTTTCTGAACAATATCTGCATTTTTTTTTCCTGACTTGGTCTTCAATCTTTTTACAGCCTTTTACTTAGGAAGCATGAGTGATTTTGCAAATCAATACCATAAAGTAAATACATTCATTTTTGTAATGGTTAATATTGTATCACTTTTTTGGTTCAGAGAAAAAGTATGCAATAATACAGTCATCAAGTTTCCCTATTTGGAAAGGTTAATGCAAATTAGAGGACAATGGTCTCTAGAACATGTTTTTTTTTCTGGGTATTTTCTTCAGGCACATCCAGACAGACAGAAAGATAATTCTGTCTTCAGCTCATATTAACAAACCAATGACAAATCTATTATACTTATCAATAGTCGAAGAAATTTGTCAAATGCAATTTTCTGAAGTTCTTCAATATTAATAACCCACAAAAGCTTTTTGATATGCTTGTAGCATGTGTCCAAACTTGTTGCCAATGTTATAAGCTTGTTTGGTGGAAAACTGGTTCCTAAAGATGGTGCTATGCTTTTCCCTTAGCACTGCTATGTCTGGTTGATCTTGAGTATTAGAGGCTTGGCATTGTGAGCATTGTCCGTACTGGGAATCTTGCTTTGAGGGAACATAGTGTGATGCAGCACTTTGTAGGCAGGCTCACTGAGGTGTATTAGGTCCCTGAAGCCTTCACCCATGACCACATTCGATTCCATCGTGTCACTTGCTGTGTAATGGCCACAGTCATTGAGTCTTTTTCCCTGGGGACCTTGTCTGCAATTGCAGTAAAGTTACTGATCTAAGTTTACTTCAACTTGTTGATATATGAATAGAAATCAGTTCAATTAAGCAGGCAATAATTTATCCTAGGCTCCTCCTGACTGGGACATACCAGTGGAAATCTTGCACCCTAAATGAGGGGAAAGAATGGGAAATACGACAGACATAAACTGAAAAAAATTGCTTAGATATACAAGAATAAAAAATTTATTCACAACATTTCATCACCTTAACTTTAATGTGTAACTTCTTTTGTATATGAACACAGGCTAGAATTCCACCCTGTCCTGGGGCAGACCATTCATTTGAGTCTCAGTGGGAGCAGAAAGATGATGATGGCATCAAAAATCCTGGACATGTACACTGGGAAGGGAAGAATTAACCAGCAGGTACTACTGGTTAGCCACCACATCCAGGGAATGGCTGGAATCTGTTAGTCTTCCAGGAGTTTTTATAAGGAAGAGGAAGGAAGGGCTAAATCTATAAAGGAATTCAGGTGCCTTGCCACCCAGTGGAATCCATAGCCTTGAGTTAGGTGCCTAGAGTCCCTATATGATCATGGAGAGAAATAGGGCCCCTAACCACTGGGCTATAGAATTATTCTCTCACTCTTTCTGAACCAATGCATATTTAATTATTTATACACCGTAGTACAGCTTCAACAGGAGAGACTGACAAAGACCCACTCCTCAATATCCCATAGCCCAGTGATTAGAACACACACCAGAGAACATTTAAGTTCAAAGCCCTCAGCCTCATTAAGCAGAGGGGAGAACTTAACCAGGGTCCCACATACCAGATGAGTCTCCTAACCAATGGGATTTAGGGGTTATAAAGGAAGCCTCTTATGCCTGCCCCCCCTTGGACATTTTGTGTGAACTTAGGTGTGCTCTGAGTATGCCTAATGAATGGGGGCACCTACCTTAAGGATTCCACTGGCACCTAGGTGTGAGACAGGCCTGAT